TCTTTTTTTACTTTTGTCCTTTCTGTTGGCCTGTATTCTTTCTAGGAGCTCTAGGGTTTCATTTTGTATATTTCACTTCAGGTTGCAAAATCTCTAACATTTTCCATGGTGGAAGGCTCACAGAAGGGGCTTCACGCTCAGTGAGAAATCAAGGCCCCTGGGCATCTGTCAGACTAGACGTCTGTGACTAGAGTCTCAGACATGCTCTCAGGGGTGGGTGTCAGCGAGAGACGAGGGGCTGAAGAGAGCACTGTGACCTGGGCAGGAGTCTGGTCTGGAGTCTAACATTAGATGAATGTCTTCATTTGACATTATTTCCTGTAAATGAAAAATATTATCTTAGTATACAGTGTTCTGTACACTTTTATCTTTCTAACTTTGTTCTAATGTATATTCTAATACATTCTAGTTAATCTGGCACCCGTCTCTCCCATCCCTGCCCATCCCTGTCTGTCTCCCTCCTCTCTACAAACCCCTTCCGCTCCTACATGTCTTACTTTGACAGATTAAACATTTTATTTCTTTGTTGTTTCTAGTTTTCCTAGGAGAAGCCATCCAGTGAACTTACAGAGATGATCTTAATGTTTCTTAAATAAAATATTAATATGGCAGCTCACATGCTTGAGTGGGTGATGTTGAACTGACCTTGGATTCTGAGAACTAGTCCTACTTGGCTGAGGCACACAGGTGCCTCAGATGATTCAGGACCCTGATCTCTTCTATTCACTTGCAGAAGGCTCAGCAGGTAAAAGCATTTGCTGCCTAAACCTGGCCATCCGAGTTCAATTACAGAATTCCACGATGGGGCTGGAAGTGACTTTGAAAGGTGTCCTTTTTCCTCCACACACACAACAATAACAACAGAAATTAATGAAGAAGAGAGTGTGGAGAGAGTTGTTGCCTATTTTTCTAGAAGACTTTTCGACTCTAGCTGCACTTAAGCCCTATTATTCTTGTGTCTAATGCATCTCCTAAATTATTCATCTTCTAAATGTATCTACTAAACCCCTACTATTCTTGCATCATATGCATCTAGTAAACAGTCTAAATTCTGGATAAAATGGGATTTGAAGAAAAGCATGTCCACCTCGAGGGGGTGCCCCTGTGCAGGATGCACAAGGGAGGGAGGGGAAAGCCAGAAGAGAGGGCTGTTGTCCCTTTGGCCTTCTCTTTGCCTTGCTTCCTTCCTTGCTCTAGTTAAACTCTCAGCTGCTTCCATTGGTACTGTGTCCCATGTGGATTCTTCAGGACAGAACTGAGCTGAAGTTGAAATCCCAGGAAACTGAAGTCTTGAATGTTAAGAGCTGTGGTAACAGCAGATGCTGAGAGCAACTGGCTCTTAAAACTCAATCGCCCAGCTGGTAACGACTCCAGCACCCAGTGACTTCTCCAGAGTTTTCTTGCTGCTTATGATAGATTTTCTGATGAGGGGAATAAAAACAACAAGCAAAACAAAACAATCCCTTTCTTCTTTCTCTTTCTCTCTCTTTTTTTGAACAAACATATTAAACTCAACAGAACCAAGATTTAATGTTCTTAGAAAACTCACACCCAGAGAGTAGTAGAGAAAAATATATACCTCAATAGAAACAATTTTTAAAAAAATAAAAAAAAATAATGTATGCTAAGTTTCAGAGACAGACTCTAAAACTTGGAAGAGTGCTCCAAAGAGAAAGCCAGGAGTATGAATATGAATCTTTTACCAAAATCTCAGAAAGACCAGACAGTCAGAGTATGGAGCCACAAAAGGGCCACTTCAGGTAACAAAGGGTGTGCCACAAGGGCCTCTCCACCAAACCACAAGGCCGGGGAAAGTTAAATATTCCGCTCCCAGTTGTGTGAACAGAAGCCCAAAACATGGAAGGGCTTCTTTGTGGCAAAAAATAAAAAGTTTTGTCTAATGAAGTGACCCCTAGGGAAATTTACTCCAAGGCCCACATATTTCTTGGGAAAGATTTTCCCAAGAAATAATGCCAGCTTGTTCAAAAAGGAACAGATAGAAGACAAAGATGAGAAAAGCCATCCCAGTTGGTAAAATCATTCAGCTCCAAACATTTGCTAACTTTCATCGTAAGAAACAAAGAGTGCTTCAGATGGTTGGAAGAAGATTCTAGAAGCAGATCCCAGAGCCATAGAACTGTTTCCAATGTTTAAACCTAGTCAAGGAGCTAGAGCTTGCGAAGTTTCCCTAGCTAGAGTTTATCAGTATGGACCAAGCACTACGGTCCTCCATGATGGCTGTTGGGGACCAATGGCCCATTCATCAACAAGACAGGTATTGGAACTGTTGGGTTGTTGTTATTGTTGGTTGGTTGGTTGGTTGGTTGGGTTTTGTTTTTGTTTGTTGTTGATGTTTTGTTTTGTTTTGTTTTGTTTAAGACAGGGTTTCTCTGTGTAACAGCCCTAGCTGTCCTGGAACTAGCAGGTCTCAAACTCACAGAGCTCTGCCTGCCTCTGCCTCCTGAGTGCTGGGATTAAAGATGTGCACCACCGCTGCCCAACTAGTAATTGCTGTTTTAATGCTTCATCCCTGATTGTATGTTTGTGGACCATAATGTGTAACCTTTACAGATAAACCAGTTAAGAGGAACTCCATTCAAAGACACCATTTTCCTTTTGTATATATTCTACTTCCACTCCACTGTGGGGTTTTTGGAGAGCAAGTAGGGGTTGAAAGGATTTCATGTGGCCCAGGCTGGCCTTGACTTTGCTATGAAGGAGAAGATGATCTTGAACTTCTGAAGTTCTGATCTCCGCACCCTGCCCACAGAGTACTGGGGTTACTGGCGTGAGCCCTCATGATGTATTGCTACTGAAATCCATGCCCACCCTTACTGCTGCTTTCCACGGATGACTCCCCTCCTTTTTTCTGACTGTTTTTCAAACTTTTTATTTCTACGCAATTCTATTCTTTTTGACTTTATGCAATTTAGTTATAGTGTGTTTTTTGGTTTCTTTCTTTTCTCTTCCTCCTACTTCTTCTCTTAATGATTTGAGATTGTTGAGTGACTTGTATCTGTGAATTTATAATTTCTATCCAATTTTAAAAATTCTTCAGTATCATTTTTTTGAAAGTTTCTTCTGTCCCTCCTCTCCTTCATCTAACAGAACTCAATCACAAGGCCTTCTGCTGTGTTTTTCAGCTTTTCCACTTCCTGATGCCCTGTTCATTATTTAGATTGTCCTTTCTCTTTGAGTTTCATTTGGAATAATTGTGTTGCATACTCCTGTGTGACTTTTACCAGGGATGCCTAAACAAATGTCTATTCACTCTAGGTAGATCACTGATGAAAGACCAGAGACAGTTCCCCCCAAGCATAGCTTAGTGAAGCCCTGATTTAGTTGGTGTTATTTATAGAAGCATGATTGAGGGGTCCGTGTAGAAGCATATTCAATTCAATGACAGCTCCATCATCAAAAGAGTATGGCCCCTCCTGGGATCCCTGTGCAGGTGCAGTCAGTGGTTGGTTCAAATGCCCTTTCCCCATAAACTCTTATTGCATATATAACCTGAGCCAGGGGCCTTGTGGATACTGTAGCTGTCAGGAACTTTCTGAGCCTCCTAAGTTTCAGTCACTTCTTGGGCCTTGTATGTTTCATGTAGTTCTGGAGTCTTATGAGCCGCCCTCATCCTTTCATTTCAAGCAGGAATGTTTCAACTCACAGACAATAGATACAGAGAGCTCTCAAGTCTGCTTATCTTTCCTTTGACTGCGTCTAATCTGACATCCACAGCACATGTACTTTCATCTCACACACTGCAGCTTTCATCTCTAGAAGTGTAACTCAGGTTTTTCTTAAAAACTTGCCTTCCTCTATGCCATTTTAAGCTATAGAATAGTGTTAATATGTTGTTCTGCTAATTAATTAAGAATATTTGTATTTGTTTTTGTCACTTTTGATTGCTTTACCTCTGTGCTATATGATATATTTTTTCTTCTGTTGTTTATACCAGATAATTAAAATATTTTTAAAGATTTATTTTTATTGTTTAGTTATTTGTATGTATATATGTTGAAGGGCCATATATATACATGCAAATGCAGTTGCTCATGAAGGCCAGAAAAGGGCATTGGCTCCTCTGACGTAGAATACAGGTCTTGGTGAGCTGCCCATATGGGAGCTGGGAACCAAACTCTGATACATGCCCTTGACCATAGGGCCATTTCTCCAACCCACACCAGGTAATTTTTACTTCACGCATTATAACTGTTATCTTGTTGCCCCCCTATATTTCTATATTCTTATATGACTTTTAACCTTAACTATTTGTATTACTTTTACATTGATTTTGAAAACATTTTGAACTTTCTGGATTTATTAATTTCATTATTTGTGACTGACTACTCTTAACAATTTCCCACCAATGAGATAAGATTCTTCTGTAAGATTCTTCTATGTTGCTAAGAACGCATTCAAGCCCTCTTCTCCATTTCTTTTGTTTGTTTTCACAGAGAGATCTGCATTAAATGGGGAAGGAAAGTTAAAGTGATTGCTTTTGGACTCAGACAGCAAACAGCAGAAGGTGCAAATTCTGGTCACATATGCAGTATTCTGCATGCCTGTGTGCCTGCAGGCCAGAAGAGGACCCAGATCTCATTGTAGATGGCAGTGAGCCACAGTGTGGTTGCTGGGACTTGAACTCAGGATCTCTCGAAGAGAAGGCAGCACTCTTAACCTCTGAGCCATCTCTCCAGCTGCAGGTGTAGTTTTTAAGAGTAGAAGAAGGCGAGGTCTGTGCTAGGATGCAGCAGTAAAGGAGATAGGGGCTGGGGAGAAGAGGAACGGGAAAAGGGAAGAGGGAAGGAGGTATTTGCCCAGAGGGTCAAAGGACTGCCTCTGGAGATAGGGGAGGTAGATGTGGCTCGTAAGCAAATGGAAGCTATATTAGTATAGGGGAAACCCTGTGTTAGCATAGGCTGTTTCATTTTAATTGAGCATATTAATCAGGTGAGCCAAAAACAGCTTCTGACTGCTGAACTTTGGCAGTCAGCCTCAGGGGGAGGAATGGGCGTTTCATGAATGTGCACACCATCCTTCCCCAGGGGCCATACTAATCCTTGTATCATTCCGAGTTTATTATATGTGCTGCCGAAGAGAGCAGCCCTCTTCTCCATTTCGTGTGTTGAAGCCCTACTTTCCTTCTCTGACTGACACTGGATTGGAGGCATTTTAAGGCATTTTAAGAGAGTAATTAAGGTTCAATGGGGTTTATGAGTTAACAGTTCTGATACAGTAGGATTGGTATTCTTCTCAAAGAGGAAGAGATGCCAAGCTGTCTCTGTGCCATCTGAGGACACATTGAGGTGACTACCCCAGGAGGAGATCCCCTCATCAGAAGTCTTTATGTTTACCTGTGAGTTGTTTGTGTGATCCATTATATGGAATTCTGTCAGGAGAGGTTCCTCTAACTAGTACTCGGGCGATTTGTAAGGGTGTCGTCTCTAGATGGGGGAAGCACCATTTCCCACTCTGTCTGGACAGGATTGTGACTCTAATCTGTGGGTGCATGGAGTGACTGTAGGCCATCCTGGTTGACGCAGAGATCTAACTACCTCTGCCTCCCAAAGCGTCAGATTAGAGGAATATGGCACCACATCCAGCTGGCTTTTGTCTTCTTTTTCCCCTTTTTTTCTTTTGCTTTGTTGTGTCTTTAGAAGCATATACCTACAAGTTTTTGTGTTTTACTTGTTACCATATTGTGGCAATAAGAACTTATGGAAAGTCAAGCTTGTAGTAACAAAAAAAAAAACACTCTTTAATAATGACTTTTTATATTTTTAAAAGCAGGATTTACAAATTCGTTCTTGCATATTTTGTAATTCTGTGGGTCAAATGAGATTGTTCTCTGGTTAAGGCAGACAAACACCCCCTCACTCCCCTCACAGTATCCTCACAGAGGCAGCGAGCAAATAAGAGATACCGTTTTGTCTTCTTAAAGGCACATGTTGGCACATCCGGGACTGCCACTGACTTGTTGAATGATAGCAGCGCCTCTTGTACATCACTGTAGATTAAGAGCGTTTTCTTGGATTCAATTTGAACTCTGTGTACTGCTGACCATTTTGATCTTCTTCAAAACCGTTTGAAAGAAAACAAGTCATGAAGAATTGCAGCTGCTCAGCAGCATTGACAAAGCTGATTTCATGTACTGAACACCTATTATCGATCAGACACTGTTCTAAGTCACTCATTTTGGTAGCTCATTACATTGCTTGATTTGACCCATCAACTTGGTACAGCCTATTATCACCTGGGAACAGAGCTTTAACGAAGAACATCTATCTCAGGTTAGTCCGCAAACCAATCGCAGTCCATAGGGTAGCCAGTAAACCAATCATAGGCTATAGGATAGCCCGTAAACCAATCACAGTAGATAGGGTAGCCCACAAACCAATCGCAGTCCATAGCGTAGCCTGTAAACCAATCATAGGAGATAGGATAGCCCAGAAACCAATCACAGTCGGTAGGGTAGCCTATAAACTAATCACAGTCGATAGGATAATGTCATACAAGTGGTTGCTGATGAGCAATAAAGGAGATGCTGTTTCCTGAAATTGCCTCTGGAGAGATTTGCCTCTGCGCCCTTTACAAACCTATGGGCATTGCTCTGTTATTAGGTGATGTCCCAGTAATGACAGCATTAATTGATGTAGGAAGTTAGAGCCCGCTGTGGCAGCGCTGTTGCCTGGGAGGGTCCTAACTCTATGAAGACAGAGGACTTGCTGAGCAAGTAGCAAGCTGGGAACATGTATTTGTTCCTCTCTGCTTTTGACTGTGGATGCAACGTGACTTCTGCTTGTGTTCCTGCCTTGACTTCTTGTGACGGGCAGACTGTGACCTGGAATTTTAAGGCAAATAAGTCCCTTTCTCCTCTATGTTGCTTTTTGGTAGGATTTTTTTTTATCATGCAACAGAAATGAAACTAGGTGACTCTTTTAACTTCATTACATCTCTGGCTACACATCCATTTCCCCCAAAAGGAAGCTGCAGGCGTCCAAAGAGTCAGAGATCCTCTGTTCTCTCGGAGGCCAGCTTAGCCAGCTTACTGCTATGGCTGTGTCACCATGCATCCCTGGCTCTCTGGAAGTCACAGAGATCTACATGTCTGTGCCTCCCCGACCCTGGGATCAAAGACTGGTACCATGACTGTTTTAATTTAATTCACTGATAGTATCCAGGTGACTCCTTTTAGGTGGCACAGACTATTGTGCCAGCCTTCTGCAAGCCACCAGCTTCACCTGTGCTCCTGAGCTCTTGAGCTCATTACGACTGGGAGGACTCCACAAGCTCTGGGAGCTATGGCTTCAGGACACTCAGGCCAAAAAGAGCTGGTGTATGCCCACAGCACCTCAGTCAGGAGCAGGGAGAGCCTGCCCAGAGAGCGCAAAACAACTCTTGGTGCTCAGAGTGATTGTCGCCATGACTGAAGGACGCCAGCCCTGCACTTGTGCCCCTGGATACAGCAAGAGCCAAACACAAGTGCAAGGATCAGCAGGCTCTTCAGACAATGCCACTGGACTTTGTTACTGGTGAAACGCCACAGATCCTGTCTTCTTCCCACATACAAAGTCCCTGCCTTTGGAGTGAGTAAGTGAACAGCATCCTCAGGCTGTAGACCGAGCCACCTCCCTGAGTCTTGGCAAGGTAACCCTAGCTAAGCTGCTGCCCCAGCTACTGAATAAAGGCAGAGAACATCACTGTGCTGTAGAGGCCCAACCCAGCCACAGGGCAGAGGAAGTCCCAGGAACACCCTGTCCCTTGCCTTCTCCTGCCATCTCCCAAGGGTTTGCCTTTGATCTCATCACAAAGAACTCGGGCATTATAAACCGTTTATCCTCTAATGCCAAGAAGACAGACAAAAGTAATTAGAGATGAACATCAAATGGCTCTGCCCAGCTCCCCAGCAAAGCCCAAAGAGGCCAGGCTGAGTCAGCCAGCTCCAGAAACAAGAGTTGACTTCAGGCACCTAGGGTGCCATCTGTTAGACTCAAGGTCCTTTATTTGGAGGACAATACCTCAGTGAAGGCCACTTCCCTGGACTCCGTGGCACTTCTCCCTTTTCTAGTCTCCCCTCTGAAGAATTCCACAGGCCTCTTGTTCTCATTTCAGATGCCCGTGGGTTCTAGACTTCTTTTGTCTCTGTCTTTGACTTTTGGATGGTACCCCAGTATAACCCCTTCCGACTTAGTGAGGATTTCTTTCTAAAAATATCGTAGAATCTAATTGTTGTGAGTGCACAATGTTACAAACACGAGTGGATATGAGTGCCTTTCCTCAATGTCGGAAGAAACTGTGCAACAAGAAATTCAAAAACCGTGTTGCTTCCATTGGCTGCAATTTGCCAAGCAGTCCCGAGTTCTCTGGATCATTGACTAAGTCCCACGGGTTCCTTCTTTCCAAACATTTAATAGTATCAACTCTTAGATTGATACTATTAGCACAGCTCTCGCTAAAGCTGTCATCTCTCCATCTCCTTCTATTTGTGGATATACATAGGTTATAGAAAGGCCACAAAAGGTTAAAACCATTGCAGCATCCTTTGTGAACTTAGGAGTGAGTTAGTTCTCAGCCTGTGCCTCCTGAGTAGTGACACACACATGGTGTTTCCATGCCCACAAAGGAGCATTACCACACAGCCTCTGTGTTTGACGCTGCTTGTAGAATGGAATCTCAGGGCAAGGCACAAACTCACCTCAGCCCTAATGTCAGACAAGCAGGCTCCAGGAATACAGCTGTGAATCAAAACAATGACCCCCTATATCGGTACTCTCTGGGGCTCGGGGGGAGGGATCCCCCAACAAAACACTCGCAGTTGTCTGACTGGGTGACAGCGGTAAAGTTCCTGTTCTGGAAAGCACAGAGCACCAGCTCCCTCAGACAGGAGTTGGCTGTCAGCGTCCGTCTGCAGCATGCGGCTGAGCTAATTGTGTCTGAACCCTCTGTAAAATAACTGTTTTGTGATTTGGACCCGAATTCTTGCCGGCTCTATGGATTTTTACATTTTAACTTCAAAGAAGTATTGAAATCAAGAAGTCTCTTGCTTTTTCCAAATAGCCCAAGTGTATCATTTCCACAGGTCTCAGCTACTAGTTTTTTCCAGTTGCTAGGAAAAAGAAAGTCCCCACCGACTCCTCAGTTCTCTGCCTGGAAGCCTGAACTGGGAGGTCAAGAGCACAGGCAACAGCTTCATTGCTCCGGGGCAAGCCTCCAGCCACACCCACCCAGTGGAGCCTGCTGGTCTCCAGAAGTCATTATACACTTAGCATCCTCATTAATTTTCTCCCCCTGAAGTGCCTCTGATGAATGTGAGGGCTGTGGGCTGAAACCATCCCGGCTTTTCCTGATAAAAGGTTCTGTGTTCAATTTTCTAAAAGTGTCCTTAGAGATCGCCTAGTTTCCTGCCTCTTCCTAAGAAAGAACTGCGCTCACGAGGCCTTCAGAGAGGACAAATTCAGTCCTTTTGGAATGGATGCTTCCTGAAGTTTGGAAGGAGAGGCTCTGGGGACGCGTTGGAGACTTGGAACTTTTGGGAGGCTGGCCACGTAGACGAAGCCATCATTATTTATGACAGACTTAAAAGCTCTATAAGCCAACGTCTGCTTGGCTTCTGCCTTGGCCTCCATCCTGACTCGCTCACAGGCTCTCATGTGTCCTGTTGAGCCCAAACCACAATGCCCTTTTAGCTTTCTGTGATAGCATCTACATGACCCAGGGTCCTCTGAGCTCCAACCTCAGCAACCACACTGATAGAGGGCATCAGCTGTCTTAGATGTCCTGGGCATGAGCCCGGGGCTTTACAGCTGGAATCCACTCAGGAAACTGGGGTGACTTTAGTAGTCCAAGCATCAGTTACAAGGCTTTGCCGCAGTGGATTTTATTAAGTCCCAGGGACTGTGGAGCGTTTGTGGCAGCTTTGCAGCTTTAACTGTCCTTCATGAGTTGGAGAGGCTGTGGGTGTGTCCAGGGTGTTGAAACAATGTTTTCTATGTGGGCCTTTGGAAAGGAGGCCTCTGGAGCATGAGTAAAATGGTTTCCTGTATTCTGCGGTCCTGCTGTGTCTCCAGCACTGCCTCAGTCACTCCCTGCCAGTGTCCAGGGA